GCACGGAACACGCCGCGCACGCCTGAACAGCAGCAATGGATCGTTAACGAGGCGGCGGGGACGACAACTAGCCAGGACAACTCGTGCAAGGCCTACTCTACCTACCCTGTTGAGGTGAGTGACCTGTTTCCCCGGCCCATGAGTAGTCTATGCTCTCGCCCGCCCCGTCATGAATTGCCAGATGTGCTCTGCCCCATTGAACTCACCCGACTTGTGGTTTAGATTACCTATCCACTCTCACGTACATCTCTCCTCCATTCCCCACCACATCCCCATTTCCAGTGCGTGCTCTGGAAGTGGGATGTCCCAGGGACCGCGTGGGGCAATCCCTACCTCGTGGTGATGCCTGACATCATGCACCAGGCGGACCTAGGCATCATGAGCCACATTGTGGCTGTCGTGCGCAAGATGAAGAAGCGGCGTGTGAAGCAGATGGACAGGTCAGTGTTTTGGGGATTGGATTCGTTGCTCCTGGTCACAATTACTCAAACCATAAGTTCTGTCCTATTACTGACCTGTTTCTGCCCTTTTGGCGCCGCTGAACTGATGTGTATGGGCAGGCGCCTGTCTCTCATTCGCGACCGCACGCGCCTGAATCACATGCCCCTGCCGGAGAGCGCCTACTTTGAGACCGGCGCATGTGTGGCGGCCTATGAGCACAGGGCCGTCATGCAAGTATGAACCCTCCATTCCCTGTTGCTTGTCCTGGCCTAAACCCTCAAGCAGTCTGCTCATGCTGCCATTGTTTGTCCCAACTCCTCACACCATCTGTGCTCACCCTCCCCTTTGCTGCTATCCACGTTCTTTGCAGGTCATGGTGTTTGTTTTTGCAGGTCTGCTTCGCCAGCCCCAGATGGATGCCGTTCGTGCCTATCTTGGCTGGTACATCCTGTGCTCCCAGCCACAGGGGCACACTGAGCGGTCCCTCCGGGAGCTGAAGAAGATGACCTCTCGGTAATAATATCACGCATGTAAATCCCTGTGCATGGGATGTATGCTTGGCTACTGTAAATGTGCTCTTGTAGTAGGCAATCTTGTGAGGATGTTGCTGCTAAACTTTGATGAAAAGGATCAGGAATAGGAAAAGCATATGAATAAGTAGACTCTGTGAATGCATGTGTTGTCATCTCCCACTCCCATCTGGCTCGTTGAGCAGTTGCAGGCTGCGTTTCCAAAGCAGCCATCCTCTTGGTGCCTTGTGAAAACACATCTCATGTCGCACTACATCGACTCCATACGTCGCGCGGGTCATGTGACTGAATTCAGCACCAACATGTTCGAGCACTTGCACGGACCGTTGGTAAAGAGGATCTACCGTCGGTCCAACAAGCGCAATGTAGATGGGCAGATCATGAAGTTCCATGCTAGGCGCATTCCGGATGTGGTGCCGGTGGATGATCCTGCCGGTCGGGACACCGCCATGCGGCAGGTAAATCTGTTTAGTGCTTGAATTGCATGGATATGAATGCAGAATGTAATAATATCAATAGCATATGTTGGCAGGCGATTGAGACCGACACACGGACGCTCATCAAGGAGTCATACTCCCTCCCTATGGAGTTGTCACAAGAATCCACCTCTACCAACTGGTTTGCAAGGAAGTGGGCCAAGCAACACCCTCGTGCCCAAGCTGCCCTCAAGGATGCGCTTATGCGTTATGCAGGATGCGTCACCAAGATTCGAGTAAGTAGTTGCAAGTTTATGCAATCAACCATCATTTGGCTGGCTCGTATCATACATGACTAACATCAACTGTTATGCAGGCCCATGCATCGCTGGCAATCCCTGCAGCAGACGACGCCAGCTTCTCAAGAGTGTCTCACTTCGTTCGAGCGACCCCTGACTATTTTGAGAAGCCATGGTACTCGGATGTTGCAGTGGAGGGTGTAAGGTATGGTCGGAGAGAGGAGTGGTATGCAAGGTTGCTTCTGTTGTTCCATACCAAAATACGTGGAGAGAGGGAGGAGCTGGCTTATGTTAGATATTGGAATGCAAGCGGAGAGGATACAGCAACATGATGCCTTCGCCTCAAGTGGACGACAGGAATGTACGCGTACTCCGTGATTCCCATTGAAGCGCTGCTCCGCCACGTCCATGTGGTGAAGGCATTCCATCTGGACAGTACCTATCTCCTTAATAAGTATCAAATGTGATGCATTTATCTTCTAATAAAATGGCCAGCATATTTTCATGCAGTCACATTTCAGGGAAGTCAACGCTTACAAAACCAGTTACAAATTCAGAACAAAATTGGCAAGCTTACAAAAACCGGCAATGTACCGGAGTCGCGGATTCGATTTCGACTTCGACAAACAAACGCGGTCTGAATTCATTCCGTGATTGGTCGCGATCTGGCTTCGGAACTTCGCCAACCAAAACACCTGAACTGTACCCCCCTTCGAACCCCCTTCAAAAATCAAGGTTTTTTGTGATGTACCACAACGGATTCACCAAGTCGCGCAACGCGGAGGCCTGAACGATGCATCGTCGCACAGTCTAAACATGCCTGTTGATAACGCATCTACGCTAATGCGTTGGGCCTGTGCTTCATACCACTCCTTCTAAGCACCTTGTGTAATGTCTGTGCAAGAATGGATGACAATCCAACACTATACCACAACGGATTCACCAAGTCGCGCAACGCAGAGGCCTGAACGATGCATCGTCGCACAGTCTAAACATGGCTGTCGATAACGCATCTACGCTTGTGCGTTGGGCCTGCGCTTCATACCACTCCTTCTAAGCACCTTGTATAATGTCTGTGCAAGAATGGATGACAATCCAACACCATACCACAACGGATTCACCAAGTCGCGCAACGCGGAGGCCTGGACGCTGCATCGTCGCACAGTCTAAACATGGCTGTCGATAACGCATCTACGCTTGTGCGTTGGGCCAGTGCTTCATACCACTCCTTCTAAGCACCTTGTGTAATGTCTGTGCAAGAATGGATGACAATCCAACACCATACCACAACGGATTCACCAAGTCGCGCAACGCGGAGGCCTGGACGCTACATCGTCGCACAGTCTAAACATGGCTGTCGATAACGCATCTACGCTTGTGCGTTGGGCCTGTGCCTCATACCACTCCTTCTAAGCACCTTGTGTAATGTCTGTTCAAGAATGGATGACAATCCAACACCATACCACAACGGATTCACCAAGTCGCGCAACGCGGAGGCCTGAACGATGCATCGTCGCACAGTCTAAACATGACTGTCGATAACGCATCTACGCTTGTGCGTTGGGCCTGTGCTTCATACCACTCCTTCTAAGCAACTTGTGTAATGTCTGTGCAAGAATGGATGACAATCCAACACCATACCACAACGGATTCACCAAGTCGCGCAACGCGGAGGCCTGAACGATGCATCGTCGCACAGTCTAAACATGACTGTCGATAACGCATCTACGCTTGTGCGTTGGGCCTGTGCTTCATACCACTCCTTCTAAGCACCTTGTGTAATGTCTGTGCAAGGATGGATGACAATCCAACACCATACCACAACGGATTCACCAAGTCGCGCAACGCGGAGGCCTGAACGATGCATCGTCGCACAGTCTAAACATGGTTGTCGATAACGCATCTACGCTTGTGCGTTGGGCCTGTGCTTCATACCACTCCTTCTAAGCACCTTGTGTAATGTCTGTGCAAGAATGGATGACAATCCAACACCATACCACAACAGATTCACCAAGTCGCGCAACGCGGAGGCCTGGACGATGCATCGTCGCACAGTCTAAACATGGCTGTCGATAACGCATCTACGCTTGTGCGTTGGGCCTGTGCTTCATACCACTCCTTCTAAGCACCTTCTTTAATGTCTGTGCAAGAATGGATGACGATCCAACACCATACCACAACGGATTCACGTTTGCTATTATTGATAATCGTGTTAGAATGACGTCCGCTGGCCCTAAAGCATTGTGGCAAAGCCTAAAAGTGCGCAGTACATCTTTCCTAAGTGATAATTCAAGACGGTCGTTGTGTGTGTGACGTGAGAATCACCGATTAACTTACCCCAACCCCGTACAAAACCAGTTGCAACTTAGAGTTTGATGAAATGCGTTGTTACTTTGCAACCGAAAACACTGTACTTTGCAGGGATTTGACTAATTTCGCACTGTAGGTTTCACACCAGGTTTACCCTTTGTTGTGATTGATGCGTTGGCAACCGTCATTGGCCGACGCATCTCAAACGATTCCCCCAGCAACACAGTCATCAGCCAAGAGGTACTTCAGCCATTGGGCGGCTGAGATCGAGCGGAAGGTGGGTTTATGCTAGGGTGGCTACACGTACACCGTCCAATGTAGCCTGATAGGGTTACATTTCTCTCTCTAGTCTCGCAACTCACCCCAACCACCCTCGTGCCCCACCCACCTGCTTCCGTCACTCCCTGGGCCAACACTTTGACGCTGCTCGTTGCCTTGACACACGCCTCTCCAGATCGGCCTTAGCGCGAAGCATAGTGGCTACTATTTCAGACTTAGTTGAAGCGGCTGTTTTCGTAAACACATAACAGTGATAGACGGCCGATTATGCCTTCGTGGGATTCAGTAGCAAAACCCTTTCGAAACCGGCTCAACCCTTCCGCGCGATTTGCAACTTTGCTCTTCCTACGATTACCATGACACGTGCAACACGTAACCAAGCAATGGAGGAGGAACAGGCCGGCCGCCGCGCGACAAGGGGGACGTCTAAACAAATCGATAGGGAGAGTGGTGGCGGCGCTAAAAAAAACAATGCGTCCGTCGCTCGTGGCATTGGGCCGAAAAAAGCGGCGGCAAAAAAGGTCGCGCGCGGTCAACAGGAGGCCGGCAAGAAAGCGGCAGACAAGGGGCCTAAACCAACGCCACGCAAGCGTGTTTCTACAGTGAACAAAGCTGCGGATGGTGCCTCTGCTGGAACCGAGCCCGGTCCGAGTAAAGACGGCACCACTGGCGGCAACGAAGATCCGAGGCGAGGGAGCGCGAGTCTTGCACTCCCGTCGGCGGAGATGGAGGGTTCGGCGACAGGGGGAGATCACGGAGGCAATCCTCGCGCCGAGCATGCCGCAACCAAGGAGTCCGAGGAGGCGGCAACGCAACACCATCTGACGCTGCTCCAGCCGAGCGTGGTCGAAGTTTCTGCAGCCGTGCTGGATAAGGACAAGGTGGCACAGCACGAGTCGGTGGGGCTGGTCGGTGGCTCTCCTCCTTCTGGTGGACGGGGAAGGCGTAGGCAAAGGAAGAGCGATGGGGAGGAGGATGATGACACCGCCGTGCCCGGGGACCTCACCACGCGGGCGAAGAGGCGGCAGACGACAGGTAGTGCTGACAACGCCGGAGGCGCGGAAGTTGACACACCGCGAGGCGCCAAGGAAGCTAGTGGCAAGGCGGGCGGTCAAGCATTGCGCCAGAAGGGCCGCCCCGCAGCAAGAAAAGCATCTGGCGGAAGGAGAGGCAAGAAAGCAGCGACACGAACGAGGCCGAAACGGGGCGATGAAGACCCCGGTGATGCGGAGGAGGAGGAGGATGAGGAGGAGGATGCGGAGGGAGAGGAGGATGAAGAGGAAGCGGAGGAGGAAGACGCGGATGTTGGGGAGGATGCTAAAGATGAGAATGATGGCGGGGAGGACGAAGAGGAGGAGGAGGAGGAGGAGGAGGAGGAGGAGGAGGAGGAGGAGGAGGAGGAGGAGGAGGAGGAGGAGGAGGAGGAGGAGGAGGAGGAGGAGGAGGAGGAGGGGGATGAGGAGGAGGAGCAGGGTGATGAGGAGGAGGAGGAGGAGGAGGAGGAGGAGGAGGAGGAGGAGGAGGAGGAGGAGGAGGAGGAGGAGGAGGAGGAGGAGGAGGAGGATGCATCAGAGAAGGAGGATGCAAGTGCGTGTGACATGGCAAAAGGTGAGGGTTGGGATATGACGTGGCGGTGTGAAAGGGTGCAAGGGAGTGCCACATGACGGAGCGAGGCGTTTCAGGTGGGTGGGGGGTGACGTGTCTCTTGGTGGGGGGTGTGACGTGGCTCTTGGTGGGGGGTGTGACGTGGCAAGTAGGGCGGGTTGTTGGCAGATGCAAAAGGGTGTGGCGTGGCAGAATGTGAGGGTTGGGGCTGTCGTGGTGGTTTGGAATGGTACACAGGAGCCGCGCGTAACGAGGCGACGCGTGAGAGGTGGGTGGGGGGTGACGTGGCATGGGGTGGGAGGGTGTGACGTGGCACGTGGGGCTGGTTGTTGGTGGACGTGGCGGATGCAGGAGGGTGTGACGTGGCACGTGGGGCTGGTTGGTGGACGTGGCGGATGCAGGAGGGTGTGACGTGGCGGAAGGTGAGGGTTGGGGATGACGTGGCGGATGCAGGTGGGTGTGACGTGGGGGAAGGTGAGGGTTGGGGATGACGTGGCACCCTACAAGGGTACACGTGAGCGGCGCATGACAAAGCGAGGCGTTTCAGGTGGGTGGGGGGTGACGTCGCTCTTGGTGGGGGTGTGACGTGGCAAGTAGGGCGGGTTGTTGGCGGATGCAAAAGGGTGTGGCGTGGCGGCATGTGAGGGTTGGGCCTGACGTGGCGGTTTGGAATGGTACACAGGAGCGGCCACTGACGAGGCGACGCGTGCCAGGTGGGTGGGGGGGTGACGTGGCATGGGATGGGAGGGTGTGACGTGGCACGTGGGGCTGGTTGTTGGTAGACGTGGCGGATGAAGGAGGGTGTGACGTGGCACGTGGGGCTGGTTGGTGGACGTGGCGGATGCAGGAGGGTGTGACGTGGCGGAAGGTGAGGGTTGGGGATGACGTGGCGGATGCAGGTGGGTGTGACGTGGGGGAAGGTGAGGGTTGGGGATGACGTGGCACCCTACAAGGGTACACGTGAGCGGCGCATGACGAAGCGAGGCGTTTCAGGTGGGTGGGGGGTGACGTCGCTCTTGGTGGGGGTGTGACGTGGCAAGTAGGGCGGGTTGTTGGCGGATGCAAAAGGGTGTGACGTGGCAGCATGTGAGGGTTGGGGCTGACGTGGCGGTTTGGAATGGTACACAGGAGCGGCCACTGACGAGGCGACGCGTGTCAGGTGGGTGGGGGGGTGACGTGGCATGGGATGGGAGGGTGTGACGTGGCACGTGGGGCTGGTTGTTGGTGGACGTGGCGGATGCAGGAGGGTGTGATGTGGCACGTGGGGCTGGTTGGTGGACGTGGCGGATGCAGGAGGGTCTGACGTGGCGGAAGGTGAGGGTTGGGGATGACGTGGCGGAACTAGGTGGGTGTGACGTGGCAGCATGTGAGGGTTGGGGATGACGTGGCGGTTAGAAAAGGTACACGTGACAACCGCGCATGACGAAGCGAGGCGTGTCAGGTGGGTGGGGGGTGACGTGGCTTGTGGTAGGGAGGTGTGACGTGGCAGAATGGGCCGGGTTGTTGGTGGACGTGTCGGATGGCGCAGGGTGTGACGTGGCAAGTTCACACAGTGTTGCTAGTCACAATCCCATGGTCACGCGGCCACCCACATAACTGCTGGTTTCTCTCTCCCATGTCGTGTTGTATACCCTTCACCACTGCGCAGAACAAAGCCTACTTAGTGTGCTCTCAGCTCATGTTTCTGAACCCGCCGGAGAAAATACAGTACTACCCTGCACCGGAGGAAGTGTTCGAAGCGTTCTCTGTCCACTTGTCTGCAGAAGGGCTCGAGGCAATGAAGCTGCTGTGGTTGCACAATGACAAGTCAACCATGGGAGTCTTCAACCACCAGCTGTCCTCAACAAGGTCAACTATCAACTCCACCCTCAGGCCAGCAACATACACCGGCATGGGCCTTGCTGATTACCGCCATCTCGTGGATAGCCTGCCCACTGAGCTACACCCAACGACCTGGTTCGATGACGTTCAACTCCTAGCCGAGTACAGAGATGGTATGTGCAACTCGAAAACACAATATGCCCTACCATATGCCAGTTGGCAGCTACATATCACCGTGCGATGTGGCTCACCCTGACACTCATCCCCCCACTTGATTTCTCTACAAAACCCTTTCCAACCCATACCCTCCCTGCCAAAAAACAGAACAGTGGGCCCTCAACTGGCACTTTGACAAGGCCACCGGGACGCCCTTCAGCAACCCCTTGTTCGCTTATGCATTCAAGATCTCCTTCAAGAGGGGCGGGGCGGTGTTCACCAAGTTCAAGAGCCGCATGGTGGCATGGGGCCTGTTTTCGGTAAGGATGTAGATATGTGTTTTTACCCCCATGCCTCATCCCCTTAACCCCTTGCCTGTACTTCAACCCTAATCCCTGGTCGATTAGGCCTTTGCAGTTACGTAGATAGTGACGACTGCATCACCGCTTTCAGTTGCCTCATTTACCCGTAACCTACCCTCCTCATAAACCACCCACCCAACCCTACTACACCACATTGCAGATCGAATGGCCCCTTCTGCAGGATAAGCGTCGCAAGCGAATCAGTAGCCAGCCGGAGCAGAACAGGCCAGACTACCAGGAGTGGTGCGAAAAGGTCAAACAGATGATCCATTTTGCTGTCGTGGAGCGGAGGATCCCCCACGATCCGGCTATGGGTGCGTTCGTCTTTCCGAACAAGTTCCTCATCGACGACGGCGACCTTGGAGATGTCGTCCTTGCCCACCGGGCGCTTTCAAGGCCCGCCAATGCGTAGGCTATTTGACCTGGTGCTAAGACTGATTGTTGCTAGCATGCTGAATAATGGTTCTTGTAAACCGCAATAATAAATGCAATTTTGAAATCCCCAAAATCCAAAATGAACAAAAACAGAATTTAGTATTGAATAAATTGGTCACGAATTTGCAACAAAACGGATTGCGTCGGAATGTCATCCGGAAAAGCTCGCGTGCCAAATTGGAACTTGAACCGAGCCAAGCCTTGTCGCGAGATGTGTCTCGGAGCTCCTATCAAATGACTCCAACCGTCGGTCCAAATTGGCTCCGGATTTTTTTACGCGAAGACAATCGAAATCAAAATTCGACCAAACTTGGCATAGGGTTTTTGTGATGTTGGAGCTCCTTAGGGGGATAGAGACAGCTGCAATTTTTCATCTCTGCCCAGGAGCCCTCGGCGCATTGCGACAAACTTCTCGGCGGGTCTGGACAAAACCGCTGGAGGTGCTGACATCATCTGACACTAGACTGGTGTTCGACAACATTTTCGGAATGACATTCACATCTGGTTACTGCTTCGACGACCTTCGTCGAGTCTCGTTTTCGACATCGCCATCAATCGTATTCATCGCCGACAATTTCGAACCATTCCCGATTTTACGGCCAGAGGATTTCGGGATACTACCGCTCCAACTCTACTAGCGACAAACCCATCCACCCGACCAGCCCACGACAACTGCATTTACTTCTGACCACGTCAGGTGCTGCCAGCTGCAACTGCTGAATATACTGCAGGATTCTGGCACGTGAAGACAACACAGGTTCAGTTCAAGTAACATGGTTTTTCCGACGCGGTTTCCGGGCTACATATACTGGTTCGCCCTTGAAGAAATTTTGGGCACGTAACACCTGGCATTCGTCATCGACTGTCCACACCGACGAGTCTTCACCTGGCTTTCTACGCTCGACATTCGCTTCAGTGGGACTTAACAACTGGATTTTTGTTGGTTTTCATCTCGGCGCAGCTGTGAAACATTTTCTGGTGTGCTTTCTTGGAGGGGGGGAGAAAGTGCTTTGCACTGTCCTTTCGTTGGCGTTTTCTCGGTCCTTTCAGACTTTGTCAGTTTGCGTCAGCACGACGGACGCTCGCGATCGCACCGACACGATCAACGGTTTCTGCTACATCGCGATTGAATTTCGCGTCAGCAGCTTCCCTCCAAACTCGCAACTGCTTCGACCGTCAGATCTACATTTGCTAGATCAACGGCCCACATTCCAACCTCTACTTCATATTGGGCCAGTTCATCTTCGACCGTCCGATCGAAGTCGTACTTCATCAACGGCCTACATTCCAACCTTTTCAAAAAATTGTCAAAGGCATTTCGGCCGTCGGATTCAGCTAAAGAGGAGATCTACGGAATCCTTGCTAGTGTGGGTCCTGTTTCAGTACAGGGCTGCCTTATTTAGAAGGTGGGAGAGTGTAAGGATTTACAAATCCTTACTGAGGCACTCGTTAGCGAGGCCATCCCGAGGGTCACGCGACGAACCTGACCTTCCTATTTCGTCGCACCGAACCACTCCCGAGTCGGCCTCCGCTCCAATCGCAACCATCACCGAGCCATCCTCGCCCAACCTCCCCGCCTAGCTAGCTTTTCCCCTATTTAGGCCTCGCTACTTCATTGTTCATTCAGTAATTCGGTAATCACGTCTTCTTTAAAAATTCTTCCGCGCACTCTGTCTAGTAAAACTCATAACACTCTGTGTCAAATGCAACTGGTTATACAGCGAAATTGTCCAGCATTGCATAACCATCGGAATCTGCCGAAAACGAATATTACAACAAAGCACCTTATAAGTTTTTGGCACACGTCAAATATCCATGTACACTGATCGTGGGTCTGTGCTTACTCCGAACTGGATTCAGATCAAGGCAGTCCCATCCCCTCGAGCACCAATTTCAGCCAAGCAAATCCACCAGCGATTCTTGAGCCTATTTTATTCTCCTGCTTCTATGTAGTTTGAGGAAAGGAAGACCCACCCATTTCATAAGCGAGAGCGCCGTTAAATTTCCCCTCTATCTTTCTCTCTTTATGTTCTCCCTTGTCCGCCAGCTTTAGCCTCACTTGCCGTTCGCTTAGCCGCCTGGTTCTGCCAGCCGCCGTTCGTACCGCGCAGCGCCATCGCCTAGTCGAGCAAGATTTTCCGCGTCATGCGCGTGCGCCCTCCCCTTCTCGTCTACCCGCCCTCTCGTCTCCGTCATCGAACTCGACTTGTCGTCCCCAGGGACGGAGACGAGAGGCGGAGGCGGCGGCGGTGGCGGAGGGAGCGGAGGAGGCGGTGGTAGCGGTGGCGGCGGTAGTGGCGGAAGCGGCGGTGGTGGCGGAGGCGGCGGAGGCGGAGGAGGAGGCGGTGGAGTTGGTCACGGGTCTACGCAGAGGAGTGGCTCTGGTGGTGGTCCGCGCCAGCAGCAGCAGCGTGTTCGTGAGACCTTGTCCCCTCAGCAGCTCCGTGAGTGGTACACTACACGCCAGCGGGGTTGGGGTTTTGGTCCGTGCACCTACGTCCTGCGCACCGGCGACCGTGCGGGTGAGCAGTGTGAGGGTGCGCACCCCACCCAGCGCTGCTTTGGCCACCTGACGGACGCGTGGCGTCACCAGTTCCCTGAGGCCACAGAGATCCCTCGCTAGGGCGAGATGTCTAGGGCAGGAGTAGCCATCTATGATCTTGATTTTGATGCTATCTTGGCTGCCATGTATTCTGTGACTATTAGTGATGAGGGTGACTGTTACCGGTGTTTCCCGCCTGATCCGGGCATTGAGACTGCTGCTCTAGGTACTGGTGCGGCTGCTGCCCTAGGTGCTTGCCACGCTGCTGCTCTAGGTGCTAGTGCGTCTGCGTCCTCAGGTACTGGTGAGTCTGCGCTCTCAGGTACTGCGTCGGCTTCGGCCTCCCTCACCTTCACTCTTGACTCTGGGGCTTCTCGCTCCTTCTTTCGGGACCGCACCACACTCACGCCGCTTAGTCGGCCGGTTGCGGTGTCTCTGGCTGACCCCTATGGGGGTCCTCTCCTGTCTCAATTCTCCACAGTCCTCCCGTGTCCGGCGGCTCCCTCTGGCACCCTGTCTGGTCTCTACCTCCCCTCGTTCTCTACGAACTTGGTGAGTGGTGCTGACCTACAGGATGGGGGAGTGCACCAGTTCCCTCCTGCGCGTCAGCGAGTGACGCAC